AGTTTTAAATATTTACTTAACTGTGCATTGAACAGGTGAGTTATTTTGCCACATGTTCCTGCCTGAGTGACCGGCAGAGGTTTCCATCTTTCTTCAGGACAATACCAAGTGATGATTTCCAGGTAAATACAACAACAACATAAAGCTTGTGCTGAAAAAGTTCACTGTACTTAACAGGAATTATTGGATTTGATAGACTAAAAATGTTTTATTTTTTATTATTTTTCAGAAAATAAAATCAATCACAGCCAACTTTATAGTGGAAGCAGTTCAATACATTTTTTTTCACTAAAACATCCTTTGTCACTCCTCCCCCTCCTTTTTCTTTCAGGTCCGAGCTGTGATTCAGATTCTAAAACACTTTGGCTGGACTTGGGCTGGTCTGTTGATCAGTGATGATGATTATGGGCTTCACGCTGCTCGATCCTTCCAGTCTTATCTCAGTCTGTCTGGTGAAGGGTGTCTGGCCTACTTAGAAGTTTTGCCGTGGGAAAAAGACTTAAGTGAGCTAAAAAGGATTGTAGACACAATGAAGAAATCCACAGCTCGAGTGGTCATTGCATTTGCACATGAGAGTCTGATTGTCAACCTCATGGAAGAGGTTTGTATTTAAATGCATTGTGTTTTTTAAACCCCAAAATGTAATTTATGGTAAAACACTGTTGCTTTATCAAACAGACAAACATCATATTGAAATAACATTGACCACAAAAAAAGATATATTTTGTTGTTTTAAAGAGAGATTTTGCATGTGAAAAACAAGTACCTGGTAATAGGCTTTAAAATATATCAGTTTCTTTGGTTTATTATGTCAAAAATATCTGGGAACTTATTCAAAATATAAACAGGTGGTGAGGCAGAATCTGACAGGCCTGCAGTGGTTGGGGAGTGAAGCATGGGCCACAGCTGCTGTTCTTCAGACCCCCCACCTCATGCCGTACCTGGGTGGTACGTTGGGTATAGCTATCCATCAAGGAGAGATACCAGGCCTCAAAAACTTCCTGTTACAAACACGTCCTG